AACAGATGGTGATAGAATACACATTTTTGCATTGTACCCCAGGACACTTGGGTACCCTTTGGGATGTTTGAAGAGTTCCACCACTCTTCAAAACATCTGTTTGTGGAGTGGTCTTTGCCACATAGGCTACTCATTTGGAGAATACAACACACACTCAAACATGGATGAAATTTTGAAAATGTTTTGAAAGAAAACCTTTGGTTTTGCTAACTCAAGACAAGCACAGTCCAATCCAACTGTAAACAATTGTTCTAGAGAAGAACAACAAAATAGCTGTAGGGTATATAAAATTTCTTACAGTTTTAAATACATTTCATAAATGTGAAGAAATCTAAGAACTTACATTGCTAAAGCATGTAAGTATTTCAGCTAGAGATTTTAAAAGCCACTCAATTGCTTATGACTGCAGGAAAACATTAACTCAATTAGGCCTGAAAGACTTATAAAGCCTACTGATACAATATTCTTCAAACAAGCTACCTCCTCCCCTTTACCGCCCAAATCCCACAATCCTCAAATGTTCAACCTGTAGGTTTAACGGAATAGAACCCAATAGCCTCTCCTTTTTTCCACATGATCTTAGCGTAGTGGCTGCTACCATGGCAGAGAAATGGGATCTCATTTCTTTCCATTTCTTGTGTTCGATAGATAATTCTATTCAGAACATAGAGAACAACTCTCTCTCCAACAGACTTCACCTGAGGGAACACAGAAAAAACATACCAGAAGATTGGTCAGATTAGTTAATATCCATACATGAGAGACCTCGTTTACCACAGCTGCAGACAGATTTCAAGAGAAGGCTGCAAGTGCTAAAGCAGAGTGACTCTCTGAGGTTTGTTAAGGTGCTCAGAAGCCATTGCAATAGGTTAAGTACCAATCACAACCACAGAGGATATTCCATGTCTTCAGTGTCACCCTAATCCAATGCATAAAATCCGGGAGAAGGGCAATGTTATGATCTAACTCAAAACTATTTTTGTACTTAAGAAACATTCACCAAACACAATAGCAGTACGTCAGCCTCAGAATTCCCAGGCTAGCAGGTAACTGGAGCCTTAAAAAGGAGAAGTGATGAGCCTCAGGGTGGCAGGACTTGGCACACTCAATCACTTCTGATAGAGTGGCAGGCAACAGGACACGATGCAGTGAAAAAACTTGTTACAACAGTTTCTGTGGCATGAAATAAGGAGCTCAGTATCCTTTTCTCTATCCTACAGGGATCCTTTTATATGTGAAATTTGAGTTCACTACTATTCTACTTATTGTGAAGGAAGTAAGAGCCATAATATCTTCCAATGCTTAGTCTCAGCTACCTCCCTTGTAAAAGATTCAGCCTTCGTGATTTTCCTAACATTAAGAAGTATGTGGAAAGCCAAGCTACATGCCAAACTCTCTACAGAAAATATTAAAAATTGCTGAAATCAAAGACAAATGTCCATGGAACAGATTCGATGAGCAGATATAAACTATACCCCTGGAAAAAACATAGATTTCCAGTTTTGGAAAATTCATTGCTACACAGGGTTAAATAATGGTAACAAAGGTCAGTGATGAGCAATAAAGCAGATACTAGACAACTTACTTTTCCAAACCTCATGTATTGCCACTGCAAGCCACCAGCTCCAACTTGCTTCTGTCAAACACATTCCTGACAGTACTTGTTTACTGGTCTCCTGATAAGATCAATAGGTACTGCTATGGTACAATGCACTATTCTACCAAGATGTTTTAACACAACCAGATCACAATATTCTAAAGAACGAAGAAAAAAATGGTAACATGGCTAACATCTAAGTTGCCTACATATTAAGCTGCTGTACGAAGGTCATTCTTCCTCTAAACACTATTTTCACATTGAGGTTCCTTTTCCCCTTGTACCTATTCCTCTATTCTCTTGCAATAGTCCTCTCATTTCTTAATGAAATTAAAACATGTAATATCTTGCACACTATCTATTTGCCATTATCTTGAAGTATAGAATTAATTGCTAGTTAAGGTTGGAGTGCTTTACCTGATGAAGCCCCTGTCTAGCAGGGACAGATGTTTTCACAATGTCATCAATTGACCACCACTGGTCAGCAAGATACAGGGCTACAGCTTGAAAGAAACAAGGGAAATACAAAGTTAGTGATTCTTACCATTCCAAAAAAACCATATTCATTAAAGTTGCTACATACTCAGGAATAAAAATGTGGTAATCACATTAGAAATCTTCTAGACGGCACTATATTAATGTAGCTCCTACTACCCTACAACCAATGGGGCACTGTACACTCCATCCATATGAAATGCTCTCTAGTCCAAAACCATTTTTTGATAACTAAGACTAATAAACACTAGGAGGTTTTTGTTTGTTTGGGTTTAGGGTTTTTGTTTGGTTTTTTTTTTCCAGTATGGTATAAAGGAACTATTTTTCAGACATAAGCTCTGTCCTTCTAACATCTGTGTTAGATGTGCTCTAACATCTCCTTCCACTAAAAACTGTCTGTCAAGGTAAGTCTCACTCATACATGTATTTTACTATTGGGTGGATAACGGATATTGATATTGAAACTGTGCAAGTTTTAGGGAGTTAAATGAATGCAAATAGGTTAATAGCCATGTGAGCAGCAGTTAGGAAGAGTGTGATCTATAGGCATTTATGGCATACTTGGCAATCATATACATGACGTTAAATGGCAGAAGGAAATGAGGAGAACTGGAAGGGAAGGAAGAAGGAAGGAAGAAAGGGAAGAGAAAACCTACAAAAACTGTCATATCAGCCAGAGCTATGCTAGGACTTCAAGGTAAAGATAAATTTACACATGACACTAATCAATCACTGTTAATAAAGAGCATTTAAATCCATATGCAAATTAATGGATTCTAAGAATGTTTAATAAATACCTTTTTGAGAGGTGAAGCATACATAAGGAGATCAAGAGATACATGTTGTACTATGGTCCAGACAAGCACCACATTATTTTGCTACATATCTTTTTAATTCAATGGGTCCAGATGCGATCTAATTCATGTGCAAAGTTCTAGCACTTGTGTATATAAATCCACAATAAAAAATAATAGTATGTGAACAAAAAGACAGAACAACAAATGCACAGTGGAAAAATTGTGGGCTACAGTAGCACGAAATGAGCAAGGGCCTAGTTATATGTGTTTTTCACAAACAAAAAAGCAGTACAAAGATAAAAAACTTAAAATTAAACCTGTGAGCGAGTCCCATGGTGCAAACAGTGCAAGAACTTTGTGTGTCTGCTCTTCACCATAAAGAGGAACAAAGCCCACAGATGTCAAGCTAATAGGAACCTGAAACAAGAATGTACAATAATTCAATAGATTCTTGCTACAACAACAGTAGGAAAATACACAGAGAATGTTTATCAAGGTGAACAAGAAGAATATTGAAAATCAAGTCCTTTACAGCTAACTGTAAAAGACAAGCATCAGACCTCAGTCCTTTCTTTAGACACATCTTCCTGGAGACAAACTACATCTAAAGAGCTCAGACTCTCATGCTCTGGCAGATTTAGCTACACTAATTTGTACATCCCTCTCCTGCCAACAGTTCACATTTGTGTGCGCAAGTGAAGTAAGGTGTGCAAGGAGCCAGCATTGCATTCACTTCAACAGTCCCCACTGTGCAAGCTGTCAAAGCCAATAGAAGAATGAGGCAGTCAGTCAAGCACTAAAACAAACTGGCAAAACAAAACTGTGTTTGTTAACAAGTTCTGATGTGCTACAGTGGGAAGGCAAATTCAAAAGGATTTTGTTCCCTGAAGTTACACACGTTAGAAATTCTGAAGTTATCTACTTGATTTTCCTCCTCAGAAAAACATGGAAAGGGTCAAATAACCTTTTAAGAAATCAAGTACCTCCGTGGAAATGCATTTTCATATTTAAATTCACATGATCCCATTATTATATTAACATACAAAAAACTTGACAGACATGAATGGTGTGGTAGACAGACTTGCTTAACAAATTTAAGATGCTATTGCCACAAATGAGAACGTCAATACAAGCAAACATTTAGGCAAACAGCACTTGCATAAATGCAGGAAAGTAGTCAAGACTCTGCTTCTGCCAAAGAATCCATGGCACCGACCTTTAGACCCCACAGAAAATCCTCTCAACTCACTTACTTTTCATTAAAGCTATAAACTGCTGGTTTTATTGGTACTAGTTCTAATACAAGCTTTCATCTGGACAGAACCAACACTGACCAACTCATTACATAAGGGATAAGTGTTTAAAACATAAATGTCACAGCTATTCTCTAATAGAGCTCAATAAGAGCACAGAATATCTCAGATAAAGAAAAAAGAGTCACTTTTGAAATTAGTGAACTTTATTAATCAAAACTTGAGCCCAAACATGAAGAACACTGAAGGACTGAGGCACAAAAAGAGCCAGTTAGTGTAAGTAAATCATGAACCCCTTAGTGATGATAGGTTTGTGAGAATGCATGAGGTTTGATTCATCAGTGGAAAATCTAAGGTTATAGTCAGAAAGGGTTTTTTTGGGGTTTTTAAAAATTGCTTAATATATACAGATCCATTGCCTAGAAGCAAACAGTAACTGAAACTCAGATTTAAACCCAGTTAGAGAGTGAAAAAAGTAGAGTTTAACACACGAACTCTGAATTTGGAAAATATAAAAGCTTTGATAAAATAATTCTGAAATTCAATAGCATTGGATATCTTGAATCTTAGATCTACAAGGACATTAAGAAAACCAGTACTACTGCATTTGCTGGTTTTTACCTTACGGTGGTCTGGCAGAGAAAAGAATTCAGGAAAGTTTGGATTCCTCCACCGAAGCTGAAAGAGGTAGACCTCTGCTGAGTTCTCCAAGTCTTCATGACTGTAACTGCTCAATATATCCACAGGGAATGGCATGCTCTTGAGAAATAAAGCAACATTATTAACGTAGGTAGTTTGAGACATATAGTGCACACGTAAGCAAGACTGTTGAACACCCACACTCTGCTGTTCACTACAGTCCTCTATATCCATGACAGAAAAGATAAATGCTCCAGCATCTAGGATTAATTAGGATGGTGACCAATAACACCCAGTCCGTAAAAGAATCAAATCTGTGCTCATAAGCAGAAAAGAATGAGATTAGCCTATAGATGCCCCTAGACCTAGTTGTGGCAGATTTCCAGCATACAAGCCCTATGTTTGCTGCATAAGTATGCTGCTTTGAGGTGGCACACTTAGTTCTATCTCCCTCCCAGATCATGTTTTTTATGTCATTGGTCAAGCCATAACTGGGTGATAAACAAAAAGTAAACTACCCAGATGATAACAGGATGGAGTTAACTTGAGACTTTGCATTTACATCCACCTCTGAAGAAACCAAAACATTGTTCAGGATTTTTCTCAACAAATGGCCAGGTAGTGCGCTTAACAAATGGCTGTTTCCAAAAGCATTTCAGCTGCGAACAGAAACTTACACAAGCTTATTAAAAAGAAGAGCCCACAAAGATTACAGAGAGACACTTCAACGAGGTGACAAGACAAGACTAGAACACTGAACCCAAACCATTGAGGCAATAACTCCTTAAAAGCTCTTAGATTCAAATTTTTGTTGTCAAATCAGTGTCAAATCAAAATGAGCAAGAGCTCCTGGAATCCACTGTGTGGTCTTCAAGTAAGGCTCTTCCAGCTCTATAAAAATAGACCCCTCAGCTGCTTTCAAGCTGTAATTCAAACGCTCAGAAGCATGAATAAACACAAGTTCATGAAAACTTGTGAACTACGCTGGCTCTCTAGAGGAACACAGGGATCTTATTCTGTCTTGCTCAGCTCCCAAGAACCCATTACACAAGTTTCTGAACACAAAACTTTTCATATACATTTTATGATTCCTTATTTTCACTATGGAGTCTCATTTTTCAGTTTTATTTTAAATGTTAGTGTGCAAGGATTTTTCCCCCTCTATTTAATCTAGTGTTCCTTATTCTACTGGCACAGGTAAATTGAGCACAAAACAGCATTTTATTCTGATTCAATCTGTAGAAATTAAAAGTCTGCATTTTGAAAGCTTTTAAACAGTAATAATATGCTGCTACTAAGTTGATTGGAGAGAAGAGGCTGCGCCTTCTACAGAAGAGATTTTTCTTCTCCTGTTAAATTGAACTTGGACATGACTTACATTGACATCTACAACTGCTGCCTTTAACAATGCTGCTGATGAAAACACTAATGTTTTCCATGACTGCTATTGTTCAGATATACACATGCCTTCCCTAGAGCCATTTCTTTTCAAATTCAGGTAATTCCTTCCCTTCAGCTGTTATTTGCATTTTCTCCTGCCTTCCCCTCCAGTCTTCCACATTCCTCTCACTATTGCTCACTGACCCTATGAGATACTTAGATTCCTCTCTTAATTCTCCACCTGTTTCTTCCCAGTTTTCAGGGCTGCCCTTTGCCCTTGCTAACATCAACTCCTTTGGCTCCTCCTGTTTGCAGGCAAACTGATTTCCAGAGCCAAAGGTGAGATGTGTGTGCTTTTGAATGCAGCAGCAATGCACAGCAGACAGAGGAGCTGCTGTCAAGGGTGAAATTCATCCACCACCAGCCTCCTTATCTCTAGCAGATACGGCACATACTACAGTTCTCACACACACCAGCAATACTGCACAGACTATGCTGACATAAGCATGTTGCAAGACTAAGCAAGAAGATCACATGACACTGCTTCTACCAGAGGATGAGGCTTTGCCACCTGGTTAACTGCAATAGGCAAGGTAAATTCTACTATAAGGAATTGAAAGGGAAATGTATGTGAAAACGACAAAATTTAATTTTCCGTATGCTGTCAGAAAGGGTAACCCCTCTCTATTATTAAAGAAATACCTAAGTGCTTAGATAACTCTGCTATTAACGAAGAATTGAGCTGAGGTTTCATTATTACATGACAAACAGACAAACAAGCCACAAACTATAACTTTAAGCCTCTAGGTAACAATTCCTGACATTTTTTTGGAATAAAATAATGAAGGACCAAAGCAAAAAACATGCAATAAGAAATCCAGTAGATTATCTGAGTTCCAACTACTACATCACTATGAAAATAAAAGCAACAACCATATCTCTGCTCAAAGGCAAAAAAGGGCTAATTAATGCATTTATTAAATTACGCTCAAAATCACTCACAGACCTCTTTTCTATTTGCTATTGGGGCTACCTAATTTCCCGTAGTCACTTTTGACTTTTTCTTTCACAGAAAGAGAACATGTTATGCAAAAGAAAACATTACAGAGAAATTTTCAAGACGAAACCAAGGAAAACCTACTTAGCACCCCTTCTAAATAACATTTTTTCTTTTTTACTATGTAGCAGATTAGACATGTAAAGTTACAAGCTCTCTTACACTTGTGTGATGTATTTTGTCTCAATGCTGAAGAGGTCAGAAATAGTTCACATTTAAGTTCACTACATCCCTGAAGAAATCAGTAACTGTTCACAAGTTATCAAGTTCTAATAAAAGCATTAAACAAATGATGAAAGAAGAATGTTCCATGCCAATCTACAGCAGAGCATAAGGAAGCAGTTCACTATACAAAATGCAAGAATCTCAAATTTGGAATGCAAAATAAACTACCAATGACAAATGAAATTACATCCAACAGTAATAAATTAATATATGTCCCTCATTAAAACACAGTTTAAACAAAGTAAAAATACAGATAGCTCCACATCTAGCCAATCTCAAGTAAAACAGGAGAAAGAAAAAGGGCTGGAAAAAACAGTGTTTCAGGTTTTCTTGACATTAACACAATTTTACTGCAGAGGCAGTAGGAACAGCGCAGGTCTCTGCCATGCAGTCTCTCATGCCCCTTTTTGCTGCTCTAAACCTCCATGTACTCCACAACTGTAAAACTGTCAGGTCAAATCTTTGTCATACATTGCACAACCATGCTCTGCTCATGGGTAACCATTCCAATTGCTTAGCACACAACACAGTCAGGCTGACTGAGCACATGCAATGTAGCCCTAAGCAACCAAACTCATCACGACCATTTGTACATAAAAGCATATTAGAAGAGTGTTTGGAGGAGAGGGAAGAAAACTAATTTTATTTTTCAAATGAGGCAACCTAAGCATTTCATTTTTCAAGTGAAAAAAAAATCTTACACTCTTCAAAAACATATCATTAGACAAAATAATATTAATGGGTTTGTGTAATAAAATCACATGAACAATATTTGCTTTAACGTGAGATTGTATGACTTTCTCCCTTGTCAGCATTATGCAAGCTATTACGTGAGAAATGGCATGTCCTTCTTTAGGAACAGCTGCAGCACCAGAGGGTAACAGATCAATTCATGGAATGCCAACGAAAACCACATTTAACAGGATGAGTGAACATATTCCTGTGCAACACAGGCACTTCCTTATTCACAAAATCTTTATTACTATTTAGCATTAAGGTTAAGAAAAACCAAGGAATAAGTGAGCAACATTCAAAATTGGTTTAATTATAAATTATATCTACAACTCCTATTTCATCTCAGTGTATGAGAGATGCACAGTACACGCAGCTTCCAGATCACATGTGGATTTGAGCAGGAATCAAGAGGCCTGTTCATCCCCTTGCAGTTCCTCAATAATGAATGACACAGAATTGCAGGATGAAAATAACCCAAAAGCTATGTTATTTCTTACAGTATGTCAGAGAGCTTAAATACAGCTTAAAACTGGCTTTGGGTGTCTTTATCTCAGGGGAAGTGAAGTCTAAGTGGTTAGGCTGACACACAAGGATTTAGAGGAATTTCCAGCTGTAGCACAGACTTCATGTGAACACAGACATGTTACTTGATCTGCCTGAACCCCTCTACAAAATACAAATAATCATTACCTCAGAGGGATCAGTGTGAGAAATACTTTACTGAGATCATGAGATACTTGATCAAACACTGTATCAAAACCTGACAAGCACTGGAAATATAAAATTACTTACACAGTACAGCAACTAATTTTTCTTCAAATAATAAAATAGTAAAAATAATAAAATCACAAAAAATCATCCAAGGGCTTTTCAACATAAGATAGTAACTGGGACAAATAATCATGCAGGTGAAAAATCTTCAGATTTAAATTTCTTTTTAATAATAAATAATTATAATTTATTTAGTTATTTTGGTTTTTTTTTTTAGATTGTGATTTGCAGTTTAGAGAAAGGTGCCAGGGTGCTCAAGCCATGGCCTGCAAAACTTTCCTGCTAAACCAGGAAAATCAACTTAGACCCAGCCTGCAGGATATAAATACAAGTCCAGTCCTGTGATGAAGCACAGGCCTACTCAGACCTGTGAAAAAATTAACTGCAGGGATGTCTGACCCAAGCTTTGATCTATTTCAATGAGTGCAATATTGGATGACCAAACCCCTCAAGGACTGCCATGCATTTCCTACAAATCATCACACACCTTAAAACAAGTTCTGTTTTATAAATATAATCCATGATCCTACCATGATCTCCCAGACTAGCTGTGAGCTACACCTAGGCTCATATAATGAGACATAAATAACAAACTAAACATGTATGTCCACACATACACCAGCTCCAGGGAAAGCCAAGCCAGGACTGCAGCAGTCCCAGGCAATGCTCCAGGGCCAGACTGATGATGCACCAAGGCAGCAACGACCTTGATGGGAGCAGCAGGAGCATCATTTCCATTTTGCTGTGTTTCTTTCCCACCTTGCAGCATCAGTTGCTGGTCTACTGAAAGTTGTGAAACTACATGAAAGTTGCAAGAAAATTTAAAATTTTTTGAAAGTAGTCTTTTCAGTCTCCTGGATTCCACCACAAACCAAAATTATCACATCTGCCACTTCTAGAACTGTTAAGCTCTCTTACCAGTTATTCTATTAACAGACAAATTACATTAAAGTTTCTTTGCTTTTAATACCAGCTGTTACATACACACAGCATTTTCATTTTGTTTCTTCTTTATTCAACATCAAAAACTTTAAACTGTGAGGTGTTTCTAAAGTATTTTTCTTATTTCTATAGAGTCTTAAATACTTAAGTTAAAAAGTTCATAATTTTCTATTATAAAAACAAGTAAATTTTAAACCTATGCTAAGATAATTAGACATTTAAATATGTTTAAGAGAGTACATGCTCGGTTTATCATGAGTCAACATAACTGAAATACATAGAGAAAACGTGTCCCTATTTAGACCATTATTGTAACAAAGCTTTCGAGTTTTAGAAACATTCCCATCTCTTAAAACGCTATTAATTTTAATCTG